GCGCTGCTGCTCTGGTGGCCGCTCCAAGGGGTGGGGCCGCACGCCAGGGGCGGGGCAGGGGAGGGCGCCGCGGGGTGTCAGCTCGGGCGTGGAGTTGATGACGTGAGAAAAAGGGGCGTCCGTGAGGGACACTGGAGACGTGGGAGGGGATTTTCGGGAATGGGTAATAGGAGTCAGGTCTCGGCGGACGTTGCTAAGGGGAAGGAGAGGGTGAGGGTCTGGCTGGTCCGAGAGGGCTCGTACAGAGGGAAGTCTGACTGGGGCCTCAGTGACAAGAAGGGTATTTTTTTTGCGGGGGAGAGGGGATATGAATGACAGAAAAGGAGTCTCTGGTGGTTAGTGATGGCGGGAGGGGGGTTCTGTTGGGCATTGACGGTTCGGGAAGTACTATGTGGAGTAACAGGTTGGGGGCTCCATAGGGTTCAGTATTAAGAGGAGCCATAACAGGTTGGCTTGGACCTAGACATTGAATTTAAACAAATCCAGTTTCTTTCCTTTATTCATGAATACGTGTTTGAAAAAATATTTAAGAAGAGTTATCAGAAATGTGCATTCGAGGACTGTAACATTACACCGATCACAGAGAGACCCCTTAACCTTAACAAGCAGAGGAGTTAGAGGTGACCATCAGACTCGGAGAATTCCCCTGATAGCTGATCATGAGATGGGCTTCTTTGGTCATCAGTGTGAGATGCAGCAATCGCAGCATAAGCTCTGTGTGTGTGTGTCATCTGCTTGAGCCTTCAGGATTTCCAGTGATGTCATCAGGGCTCTTGATCATCATATGTTTATGAGCTGGTGAATATGTAACAAGAATATTTGCTTAATTGGGCACATGATCCTTGCCACATGCCTGTGATTCTGATGCATCTGAAAGGCCTGTATATTTGAATATTGTCATGTATCATTTCCTATAGTTGAAATTCCTGAGGGATGCTGTGGAATCTAACTTCATTCTAAAATTATTTTTGTTATTTTTATTTATTTTTATATATATATTTTATTGATTTTTTACAGAGAGGAAGGTAGAGAAATAGAGAGCTAGAAACATCGATGAGAGAGAAACATCGATCAGCTGCCTCCTGCACATCTCCCACCGGGGATGTGCCCGCAACCCAGGTACATGCCCTTGACCGGAATCAAACCCGGGATCTTTCAGTCCGCAGGCCGACGCTCTATCCACTGAGCCAAACCGGCCCCAGCTATTTTTGTTATTTTTAAATTGTGTGTCTGAGCAACCAAAATAGTTTTTAGTTTACTTGCTTGTTTTTTTTTGTTTGTTTTTTTAAAATATATATTTTATTGTGATACTTTAAATTTTACAGATTTTTTAGACCACTGTCATTTTGAAAAAAATCAAAGGCTCTTAAGAACAAAAGAGTTTAAATTCTTCAATATGTAGTTTCTAAACTGCTTAGTTCAGAGTACAGTTAATACTGAGAAATAAATTTAGCT